ATAAAAGTATGGGTAGTATGGGACTATTTCAAAGTTTCAGAGTTAGATAGTTTGCTTGCTATTTGTATTAACAAATGCAATGCAGAAGTTCCACGAGGAGGGAAAAAGGCAACGAGCTATAATACTTCCAACCTGATTAGTCACCTGAAACATCGCCATGGCTACGATGGTGTACGAAGACGCCTGCGCTGCTAAACTAGCGGTGAATCCAAAGCCAGCTGCAAAGGCACCGGGGCTTTTACCTATCGACGAGGCTTTTGAAAAAGGCNGGTGTGCGGCCGTGAAGCCAGGACAGTAAACAAACATGTCGTCGGTAGTATGGGACTATTTCAAAGTTTCAGAGTTAGATAGTTTGCTTGCTATTTGTATTAACAAATGCAATGCAGAAGTTCCACGAGGAGGGAAAAAAGCAACGAGCTATAATACTTCCAACCTGATTAGTCACCGACATCGACATCGCTACGATGGTGTGTTAAAAGCGTACGAAGACGCCTGCGCTGCTAAAATAGCGGCAAATCCAAAGCCAGCTGCAAAGGCACCGGGGCTTTTACCTATCGACGAGGCTTTTGAAAAAGGCAAGAAGTTTGCCAGAGACGACCCCAGGGCTAAAACGAGGAAAAACTACAAGTACATTTATTATTATCGGTTATCGGTATCGGTCTTGAGAAGCAGGAAGTTATCGGTATTGGTTTCAAAAAACCAATATCGTGCATCCCTAAAATTCACATCCAACCCATCAATTAGCATCGTGAGATTACAGAGATTCGATAGGTATCGGTATCATCACTCCATGATCAAAACTTGCGACATGAAAAACAAAAACAGACATCACAACAGGTGGCAATAGGTAGCCAACACGGCAATATGTCTTACCTTTGTTGTTGTCTGATCAAAAGTTGTCTGCAATTGCATTAAAACGATAAAAACGCTGCTGAAGGTTAATCCAATGCGTCTGTGTCACTTTGAAATTATTTTTGATAATCCATCAGCAATAAAACTAGTTTTAAGATTTCAGAGCGGAAGATAGGTTTAGCTTTGGGCAAACTGCGTGCGCATAGCTCTGACTTCTCAATGGTAACGTGTGTGTGTGTATGTGGAAATTCCCCTTTGATTCTATTGGCTCAAAAGAGATGTCCAATCGACCAATGGGTTCCAGAGACACTGCAAATACGCCCATTTCCACCCAAATTACCCCAGAGGTGGAGTTTCTTTTGCTAAACCTCTCTAAAAATGTCAAATGTCACTTGTTTTGCATCAATCTTGATACAGGGTACTTATATGTTGTACTTTGGATTCCTAAAGCTTATAGTCTCCGATCCCATCATCCAAGGGTAGTTTTCACTAAAAGTAATGTTTTTCTTTTTGACGGACACAATAATTTACATTTGTTTTACTATGTTCAATCTGAATTCTCTTTAAAATAAAAAACATTTATATTGATTCTGACTTCTCTACATCCATCTCAAAGGTTCATCATTACTTTGAGAAAAAAGATTATTAATTTTCGCCTTTTAGAAGTGTAGCTATGGTCATTTGTTCTGGAAATGTCATTTTCGAGCCTGAGACCTGAAAAACAGGCTTGGGGCTTAACAGATTAATGATCTGTGGTGCCGATCATACTCTGTAAAATGTAAAACCTGTGATCCCAACGTAGAAATTCTCGGAATGACGTTAAGACCCTTTCATCCTCTAATCTGCCTAGAGAATTCAGGTGTATTTTACTGTTTGTTGTTTACGTGCCTCCCAGCGGCAGAGCGTCACTGGCGGCCGGCTCCATCGCTGACCGTGTTCACGAGCTGCAACTCAGCCACCCCGATGCACCGGCAATAGTGCTCGGGGACATGAAGCAATGTCGCCTAGAGACTGTGTTACCTGGGTTCCTACAGTATGTTACGTTAGGGATCACACCAGAAAAGACAATATCCTGGACACATGCTTTGTAAATGTTAAAGCAGCCTATGTGACTAAATACAGACCACCAATACTGAACTCTGATCATAATTTGTGAATATGATTCCAGTGTAAAGAGAAGTGAAATTTAAATGAAAAGGTGCAGGGAACAGTGAAAGCCTGTTTCATTGGACAGATTGGGACAGGTTCACTAGATGAAATAAACTACTGCTTACCACCGACTATATAAACTTCTGTGTAGAACAGTTTGTTTCCCACTAAAGAAATACAAATCCATCCAAATAATAATATGCTTATGTGACTAAGGACATTAAAAAATTATGAAATACCAGGAAAATATCTTTACAAAAACATAAACATCATAGGCCTATCAGCATGTTTATAAAGACCTGAAAGTCAAGTTGGGGAATCAAACTGGCAGAAGCTTTTGGAAAATGCTTTTTAAAGCCAACGACCCCAAAAAAGTATGAGACCCCATGAGAACCATGACAGGGAAAGACCTCTTCAGCTACTACCTATTGTGACGGACAATGAATTTTGTTGCTAACGAACTAAGACCACGTTCTTAACCCGTTTCGAGTCACTGGATAATTCTGCAAAGTGCACTGAAATTCTTACAATCCCATACATCCCTGCTTTCCTCTGACAAAAATAACCATCCGTGTCGAAAAGGTCGAAAACATGTTCAGTGCACCAACACCAAGAAAGCTGCTGGGCAGATGGGTGCAGCGGTTTCTGCCTGATAACCATGCTACTGAGGCGGCTCCATTGTGTGCCAACCCATCCTTCAGGCTTCCATTGACACGCACACCATTCCCCTCCGTTATTAATGGGAAAACTACACACATAAACCACTGCCCAAAAGGACAATAAGGAATTTTAAC